TTGATTGCATTAAAAAAATTTATTTAAATTTCTATATAGTAATAAATAATTTATACTTAATTTTTTTTTTTATTGTCATGATCAATTTTGTCGCTTGAAAAACGCTAATACTTTGAGCTTGAAGCAAAGATCATTATAATATAATTTCATTTGATTAAAAAATTAATGATTTAATTAAAAACTAATTTAACAAAAATATATAATTTTATTCTTATAAAAAAAATAGTAATTTAATTTTGATTTATACAGCCCTAATATATATATACACATATATATATATATTATTATTGATTGTACAGCCCTAATATATATATACACATATATATATATTAGGGCTGTACCGGATTTAATTTTTCCAAATCCGGCCGGAGCCGGATTTGCCGGATTTTTACTAACAGATCCGGCCGGAATCGGAGCCGGAGCCGGATTTTGAAGCAAAACTACAGGAACCAAAATCCTGTATATCCCTACTTGGTGTTGAAAATGGTCAACAATGTTGACTATTAAGATCACCAAGTGACAGTTCCCGACGGGCATTTCTTTTTAAAAGTTACGATCTAAATGTATTTTAAATGTCTTTTAAACGTCTTTTAAACATTAATGTTTAAAAGACGTTTAAAGTCTTAATGTTTAAAAGACATTCAAAACAAATTCAGAACGTAACTTTTAAAAACAAATGCCCGTCAGGTTGTTTTCTATTAAACATCATTTTTGTTGTTTAAAAGTTTTATAGCAATTTCTATAGAAATTAATAGACATTTTATATAAATTTTATAGAGTTTCTATAGGCCATATGTTTCAAAAATTTAGAGAAATTCTACAGAACTTTTTTTCCCGGGATGTTGTCACTCCGCCACTGTAGTGAATCAGCGTGTCTATATATTTCTGATTCTTCCAGATATTGGCTTAGCTGAGTGTCAATGCCTGTTGGTAATTGTTGTTCATGTGCTGTGCCACAAGCGGGCGTAGACTGAATAATTTCATCTATATATATTGCCATTGTAATGATGATAATGTATAAGAATTATCCAGCCGGGATTGTTTTGCTGGATTTTCTTTATTTTTTTCAATCTAAAAAGGTTTCTCCTCAATGCCTTTGAAACGCTCATCTAATGAGTTGATTAGGATTGACTTCATAGTCTTTACACCTGCATTATTGCAGAATATCGTGTGTCTTCTCTTCAGAATTTTTTGTTGCGTTCTTGTTTGAAATTAGGCTTAGCTAATTAAATTGTAAAAAAATGTCAATACAGATACCAAAACAAACATGAAGTTCAAAAATTAAGTATTATGTATACATGTTATCACAGGTAAGAAAGATGTGATAAACATCCAGAAATCCGGCCAAAATTATACCGGATTTGCTAACATTTTGCCGGAGCCATATATATATAAATATATATATATATATATATATATATATATATATATATATATATATATATATATATATATATATATATATATATATATATATTTATATATAAATATATATATATATATATATATATATATATATATATATATATATATATATATATATATATATATATATATATATATATATATATATATATATATATATATATATATTTAAATCAGAATTAAATTACAAATTAATTTTTTTTTTATAAGATTAAAATTAAATATTTTTAAATTAGTTTTGAATTAAATCATTAATTTTTTAATCAAATTTTGAAAACAAAATCACTAATAAAATAATAAACTTAATAAATAAAGGTAAATAAATTAACGTACTTTTTTTATTTATTACTTGCTAATTTTTTTAAAATAAAAAATTTTCGTTTTTTTTTTAATGATTACAATGAGTACAATTTTTTTTTTAATTATTAAAAAAATGTGCAACTAAACTTTTTTTTGAATAACTAAAAAGTGTTAACTTTTTTTTTTTTAAATTAACATATTTTACGACGAGAAAAATAATTTTTTACATTAAAATTATTTTTTTAATGTAATATCAAATTTAATTACTTAATATAAAAAAAAATGAAAAAAATAAACATTTTGTAATAGTATTTATAAAAAAACAAGTTAAACAATATTTAACTCGTTTTGTGGTAATCTTATTATTATTGCAGTAATTTGAAAAAAATGTCTTTAAAAGATAAAAAGATAAAGAGAACTTTATGACATCAAATTCACATTAAGCATTAAGCATTTGTTATTTGAAATTATTCAAATTCACATTAAGCATTATTACAAGGCCTGCTAAATGTATTTTAAAATTTAAATTTAGCTAGTTGATTGTAAAAATATGCGAAAAAATTGTAAAAAAAGTGTGATTAAAAAATTATCTCTCTGGTTTCTCTAATTTGAGAATCACCCAATAAATCTTGCAAATGACCATGACAGTTTGTCTAAAATAAAATACTCACATGTGGTCATACAAGACAAAAAACTGCACATGTTTCCCTGGGAAAGCTCAAACAAGTTTCAGCAACAGATAATTAGTGTGAGCAAGAATATGTTATAAGTAATATCAATTTTCACCATGGATACAAACCTGTTTATATTGAACCAATAACTTAACATATTTTTATTTTTTGGTAGAATCTACCAAAAAAAAAAATATGTTAAGATATTGATTCATTATGAACAGGTCTGTATCCATGGTGAAAATCTCTAAGAGATTTTATCAGTGATAATTTTATTTACTAAAAACATTTTTTTTATGTTTTCACTAGAGATGTTTTACTGAGTGAGTCTTCGAAATGTAATTTTTTATTTTATTTTGTTATCTATTTTAAATTTATGTTAATATTTAGAAATTTATAAATGACTTTTTCTAAATAATAACAGTTATTGCAATAACAGTTTTTTTCATCTAGGTTTTGACCATCTTCAGCTTCTATGTCTACATAATAATTTTATAATAATTCTAAACAGCCATTTTTTTAAAGATATTAGCTTTTTATTAAGTAATGACTTTTTATTGACAAATAAAAACAATGACAATATAAAAATTTATTCATTGTTAATCTTATCATAATAAAACATTATATTTTCCCAAAAAGAAATCTACCTTAAAAATAAAAAATGATTTTTTTGAATGCAGTTAGTCCTTTATGTAGGGTGGGGGGGGGTCCAAAATTCTATATTTCTTGTTTAACCAGTTATTCTTAATTATTTTTTTGAGAAAAGTTCAAAAAACAATTCAGTTTTTGCTAATTTTTTATGGTTGACCTTCTACTTCTGTTTTAAAAATTTAAAGATATAAAAAAATAAAAGTCTTTGCAAAAGTTTCTTTGCATATAAAGTTACGCAACTTTTCTTTTAAACTTATGCTATTCAAATTTTGATTGGATAAATTTGATTTTTAATTGTTGCAATTTAGAAAAAAAAAGTTTTATCTGAAGTCTTTTTCTTAAAAAAACGTTTTAAATAAGTAAAACGACAGATTGCTTCAAAAAATAAGTTTTATCTGAAGTCTCTTTCTAAACAAATCGTTTTAAGTAATCAAAAAGACAGATTGCTTCAAAATACCTTAATTTCCTTTTTTTTTCATTTATTTTTAATCGTTGTTTAAGCTATCAAGAAGGCTTTTCACTTCTTTTTTTTTTCACTTTTCTTTAATGAAGTCAAGAATAAATCTTCTTTTAAAGTGCCAGTCATAAGAAGTTCAGTTGAATTCTAAAGGTTTAACAACTCTAAAGATAAACAGGCTAAAGGATTACTGCTACCTAAAAGACTTTATAAAAAACAAACTGGGTGATCAAATTTTGAAATTTTCTGCTTTACCCTAAAACGCAGTGAATAGCTAGTTAAAAAAATTCTAGAAGCAGTTAATAAGTATACCTCAAGGAGGTTGAATATTATAATACCTCAAGATGAGTTATATTTTAGTTTGATTAAAGTTACGAGGCAGCCCATTTAGCAGGTTGACAGCATCAAAATCCTTGTTCTTTGAGTCGGCGACGAACTGTCATTGGAGATACTGGTATTCCAGCATTTTGTATTAAAGTGGTTAGTATTCGCCTAGGCTTATTCCTATTATCTAGGCAAATATCTCGTATTTTTCTATCGTCTCCTGGCGTTGTTAGCCGTTTTCTACCACAATGTCCTGTTCGTTGAGGAGTATAATCAGCATTTTTGTCCAGATTTTTTTTTATTCGGTTGGCTGTTGCCACTGAAACCTTTGTTATTGATGCTATACACCTTTGAGAATAAGAAGTATTCTTCAATAATGCTCCAACTTCTATTTTTTTTGAGGGTGAAACATCTTTTGCCTTTCCCATATTGAAAAAAACACGTGATTTTAGTAAACCGTTATAGTCAAATTATATGTAAAAATATTGATTTAATCATGTTGAACTGTAAAAAATAGACACATAAATAGAACTCAATAATAAAACAATAAAAAAATCTTTGAAAACTTTAAAAAGAGAGCAATACACAAACAGCACTTCACGCGACAACAACACAGGTATAACTGCCAAAATTGTCAAAATTCGGGAAAAACCCTATAACTTCATAATGAGATGAAATGCAATGTTGCCAAACTCCCAGATTAAAGTAAAAGGTACATACATACTATTTGTAAAATAAAAAAAATTATTTTGTTAAAATGTTTTGTTAATTTTGAACTTAATTCACAAAGTTTTTAAAATTTGGTCGTGTTTCTAATAATATGAGCACTCACTTTAAGGTATATTATTGATAAATTAAACAGAAAAAGATTAAACAGGTAGTAACTGGTTGTTAACAAAATTAGCATATATTTTTAAGTTTTAAGATTCTTAATAAAATTTAATTTTAAAGATTCTTAATAAAATTTAATTCTAAAATTTAATTCTAAAAAAATTCTAAGATTCTTAATAAAATTTAATTCTAAAAATTAAAGAATGTTTTCTGAGCAAATTTGGAATGAATATACTGTATACAAATCTTATGAATTTGATAATAGCCAGTTTTTACTATTTTGTTGTTGTTGGTATCTTACAATATATATATATATATTTTACTTTATTATTTATGATTAGGCTACGACATACGGGATTCAAATAATCTAGTACACTGTTCTGAAGCACATGCATTAGATTTTTTGTTAGACAAATCCTGGAATTCAACACTATTAGGTGTGGTTGGTCCTGCATCAAGTTCTCTTAGTGCAGCAGTGAGTGCAATATTTCTTCCTGATTTTATTCCAGTAGTATCTTATTCATCAACTAGCACAGAGTTATCTGTACGTTTTAAATATCGTAATTTTTTACGCACTGCTCCAACTGATGCATTTCAAGCATTAGCTATTATTGATTTGTTAAAACATTTTGGATGGACTTATGTATCATTGCTTGCATCAAGTGATGGATATGGTTATTTTGGGAAACAAGAGATAAAAAAAATTGCAAAAGAAAAAAATATATGTTTTTCAGTTGATGAAATTTTTGAAGAAGATATTGGTAAAGTTGAACTTAAAAGAGTTGTGGGGCTACTAAAGCAGCTAAATGAAGTAGACAAGGTTGTGATCTTGTGGTGTAGTGTTGACGATGCTATAAAAATTATTAACAAAACAATGAAGTATGGGTTGGAAAATATTACTTGGATAGGTATGTAAAATTATTTTGAAATTTATACAGAAAAGTGAATAAATATTTTGTGTGAAAATTTGTATTACTTGCTATTTGTTACTGAGAAATGTAAGAAAAAATGTGCTAGTTACTAAGACAAAAGAAGTTTACAAAAGAAGTATAAAAAAGGTTTAAAAATACTTCAATTTTTTAATGTTCTTTTTTGCTCTAATACATCTTCTTAAGTTGATACTGCTTTACCTCAGTCAACCCTCAGTTAATAAAGTAATTATTAAAACTCTTGACTATCTCTATTACTAGACTATGCATGTTTCAGCTCAACATCAATATATATATATATATATATATATATATATATATATATATATATATATATATATATATATATATATATATATGTATATATATATATGTATATATATATATATATATATATATATATATATATATATATATATATATATATATATATATATATATGTATATATATATATATATATATATATATATATATATATATATATATATATATATATATATATTCAGTTTTTTATTTTTTCTCACATTTATTTAAATTATTAAAAACTTTTTAAATGCTTTTTAATCAACCTCAATTTAATCAATAAAAATTTACAAATCTCATCGTAAATTAATTGAATTTGGTTAGGTGTCACTCATATAGTTACAAACTAGTCAATGGAGTGACATCTAAATTCTCACGCTTTTTAAGCGCAATTATTATTTTATTAAGATATTAAATCTAATTTTAAATTATTTTTTACTTTAAACCATTTAACTAATTAAATAAATTACATGTTTACGGTTTTTTTAGAATTATTTAAGATCAGAAAGTATATTAAGAAAGTTTAGCCTTGTTATAGTTATGTCAGAAACACGCAGAGAAGATATATTTGTTACAAAACTTTTTTTTAATTTGATAAAAGTTTAGGCTTCCATTAAATTGCAGCAATAATACAGTGAGCAAACTCAAAACAATGTTTATTTGTAAGAAAAAAAACTATTTTTAGTATTTTTAACTTTTGTTTTCCCTCCATCAATATACATATAGTTTTAAGTTCATACTATACTACAAGTAAATATTGAAAATCACCACCCCTACTAATGGAAAAATAAATGCTAATTTCTTGTAGAGGCTATACAACTGGATGTTTACTGTCTACTCATTTTGTTAAACAATTTGCTGTTTTAAACAAAATCTTCACCTATAGTACATAAACTAAATTTGTATTTCTAAATGACGCTCTTTCTATGAGCAATCTAAAAAACCAATTAAAATGTAATAAATAAACTATGACCATTTTTTTTTGTAAAAAAAAAACAAGTTTTAAACTAAAAAATTACTTATTCATAAATTTGCTATATACTTAATTTACTACACAAAATTTAATTGCTACATTCTTTAAAATATTGTTGTCTGAAGCTATGCTATTATAAAGTAATCCTTTTATAATCAATTAATCATTACCCCTATCATAACAGAAAGCAAAAAATCTATTTTTTTTTGCCGATCTAACGTTAATTATGGTCGGCACACTTGTGCGTACCTGAAATCCTGAAAGGGCTAGAAAAAAAGTTATAATACTTAATATATAATAATTTGATGCTTACATTTACTATTTATTAAAAACTGGCATACATTTATATATTTTTAAACTCTAATTTATTTCCAACAAGATTGCAAGCAACCAATATTAAGTTATGAGTTACTTTAAAATAGAGAATAAGTTAAAATACTGGAAATGTATAACTAAAGACTTAAAAAGTTGTAAATTCTATAAAAAAGGAAAACATGAAGATGGGTAAGAGTAATAGGGTTTTTTTGATGTTTAAGGAAAAAAATTGTGTTACTAAAAATATTTTTAGCATACAGAACAGATACAGTAACAGGATGCAGCTTGTTGAATAAAAAGCCAATCAAAAATAAGTTTTGGTTTATCGTAATAGAGATGATAGCTCCTTTGAGCAATGACCATAACTGTATTTGTAGAAAGAAAAAAAAAGAAACGCAACCTTATAACAATGGAGAGTGGCTCAAGCTTGGCAGATAAAGCAAGTCTAATTACAATTACAATGTGCTATTAGACTTAATCTGAGACTGAGAGGTTGTTATTTGTCAATATAGGAATGGCAACAATATTGCAATATTTTTTTGCAGTAAATAAATAAGTTTTGTTGTCTAACAAAAATTGTGGATTTGTGAAGTCCAGAATTAAAATTCATAAGCCACTGCAAGGCTGTTACAGAAGAAAGATCATATTTAAAATTGGCTGCTTGTTCTAAGCAATTAAAAAGTGAAGATTTTTAGTCAAGACAAGAGTATGAAGTTGAGTCGTCAGCAAATAGAGCCACTTTAGATTTCATGAAGATCGTTATTGTAGATAAGAAACAATACAAGAACAAAGATAGAACTTTGCAGTATCCTTAAAGCTGTTTGAAATAAAGAAGAGGGTAGGCCTTCAAGAATAACTTTACTACTGCAATTAGAAAGAAATAATTTAATAACCTTAAAACCTTTTTGTAAAGATACTAATAAGAAAGTGAAGACTATTCATAGATTGGAGAGTGTTTTGAAAAATTGGAATCACTTGTTTAGCACTTTTTAAAAATTGAAGAGGTTTTCACTTTTTTAAGACTATGATGGAAAAGATTAAAGAGATTTAGGTGTCAGCATGTAGAGAGGTATCTTCAGTAGAAAATGGTAGTGGTTGAAGTAAGAAAACTTGAAGAGAGTGTCTTACATTGTGTATGAATAAGCTTTAGTTGAGGAAAAAAAATGCTGCAGATTGTTTATATTAGAGAAACAGCATAAAAGAGGAAGGCTTAAGCCTGATCATGATCATGATCGTGATGATGGCTGTAGCCTTCCTCTTTTTTGCTGTTGATGATGATGATAATGATGATGATGATGATGATGATGATGATGATTATGATGATCATGTTGATCATAATGATGTATATATATGCATATATATACAAAATATAACATTAATTTTGAATTGAAAAAATATACTTTAGGATGTATATTATCAAACATAGCCCTGGCTCCAATCAAATTTCAACCCCAGTCACATACTAATATATATATATATATAAAAAACCTAATTCATTTCCACTATTTTTTAATAAATCCCAAAAAAAATTAAACTATTTTTGTTTTTAAGATGTTATTAGCAGGACTTGTTTTTAATAAGTATATTTTGAAATTTACATATCATATATTTATAGCACTAGTATTAGTTTTGTTTTTAAAATAAAATAAATATAAATTGGGCTTTTAAAGCGTTTACTTATTAATCATGTTATTTTTATTTAGTTATAAAAGTTTGGTTTGTTTTATAAAAAAAATAATGAAATTCTTCTACATAAAATTTAGCAACAAAGGGAAAACCTGAACATAACATTAATAATTCAAGAACGTAAAATCATGAATATGTACATAAAATTCAAATAGTGTAACGCTTCTTAACAAGGCCTCGATATATACATACATACATACATAAATATATATATATATATATATATATATATATATATATATATATATATATATATATATATATATATATATATATATATATATATATATATATATATATATATATATATATATATATACATATATATATATATATAGATGAGTTTCTGTGCGGCGTCACATCTTTTTGTAAACAACATGCGCGTGGATACTTGTAGGTAGAAAAAATAAATACGCAAGAACTTTAATATGTTTCTTGTATTTCTTTTATACCCTAAAATCAATACTTCCTTTGAAAAAATGTTAAAAAAATAATAATTATAAATAATTACAAATTTTTTGAATAAATTTTGGTAATAAAAATTTTTATTGTTATGAAAAACTTGTTTAAAAAATTTTTTAAACAGATGTTCTTGTACAAATTTTAAACTCATTTTAAATTTAAAAGTTGTTCTTGCAACTTTTCTACTCTTTTTAAATTCATTTTGTTTTTGGAAGTCAACAATAAAACTTAATTTTTCAAATAGATAACAATTAGTAAACTGAGGCTGATTTTCTTGTATTCTCCCTGCATTTAAAAGGTGAACAAAGTTTCATTTTAACAATTAAAAAAGACCTTATTCTCAAAATGATTGATAAATTAACAATAAATAGTAGGAAAGTTTACTGTGTATGCCAAAGACTTTGTTTTGGAAAAATGATCCCATGCAATTTCGCTAACTGCGAATAAGAATGGTTTCATTACACTTGTGTTGGACTAAAAAGAGCTCCAAAAAGTACTAAATGATTTTGCAAAGAATGTGAAACCAAGCAATAAACAATAACAAAAATCCTTTAATATGTAATTAGATTTTAAAACTGTAAGAATTGCTTCTCTGTAAATTTGTTTTTACATTTTACAATTTGTTTTTACATTTCATCTAATAAATCGATTTGAGTGATTGGCACAGTCATATGAATAATGCAAAACTTTTTTATTTGACCAATCTCTCATTCCACATGTATGTAAAAATTAGATATCTGTTTAGATGTTTCCACTTCCCATCCAGATAATTGTTTACCTTTTGTAAATGCTGGAATTTTCAACGTTGCCCCAACAGCATTTAGTTTGTCTTTAATCTTGAATCCTCTGTCAGCAAAAACAAAGTTGCCAGGATTAAGCTTCTAACAAAAGTTTGACTCAAACTTTATCTGTCTGTATGAAAACCAATTGCCCCAGGTGGTGTAATACCAATAAGATATTTAATGGTATTGTTATGTTTATAATTAGACCAAGTTTGTGATTGTGAAATTAAATTTTTTGGTCTTTCAATAAATACTTTGGTACAATTAATAATACAGACACAGTCTTAAAACTTTTTTTTTTAAACATGGAAGATGGCTACTCCTTATTAGTCCAGTATGAAATAAATTCATTATGGTCTAGTCTGGGATTTTTTTTTTTAAGTTCAATAATTTTATTAAATTTCTTATTCAATTCATTTTTGTATTGAATAAACTGAAAGTTAAGGGTTTCTATTTC